TAATCTCTTCAAATATTGAGTTTCCTTTAGTAGATTGACTCCTAAAGGTTTTGTGCATTTGTAGTTCTTTTGAATGGGACTCACCTTTCTGTTGTTGTCTCCTGGGTTTTGTTATGTCAAAATGCTGTTGATTTTTGTGGGTTAGTATTGCTAAAGCTATTGAGCAGATTTCCCCTTTGACCCTAGAGGCAATAGGGAGCCGTTGGAGTTTACTGAGTGTGGCCCTGACGTGGTCAGTTCTCAACTTTAGGGAAATCACTTTGGTACCTGTGGAGAATAGGAGGCTTGGATTGTGGAGAGACTTCAAGTAGGGAGACAGTAGAGTTTCTTGGAATATTCCAGGAGAGAGGTGATGAGGGCAAGATCCCTTAAGGGGGTTTCTGTGTGAGTAGAGAGAAGGGACCAGTGGGTGCTGGAGATGTTGTGGAGGTTGAAGCCTTAAAACACAGCCAAGGGTCAGATCCAAGGAAGGACTGAGAATGAGGATGATGCCCAGATTGTGAAGCCAGGTGCCCAGAGGACAGTGAGTGTTGGGCTTTCTTATCACTTCGTCTACAGCCAGTTGGTGATTTGATTGGTATTGCTTTCGGTTGACATATGTAGTGTTGCCTCCATGATTCCGTTGACTTTCCTTGGTCATACACATTCATATCTTTAATTCTTTGATAGTTGTCTTTATGTAGTTGGCTTCGGTAGTATGTCTTTAGGTGGGTGTCCTCATAAGTTAACATCTAAGAATTTGATCTACCTTGTCATTATTATTAATGGTATTTCTCTTTTTATAAATTTCTTCTTTTGAGTGACACACAGAAATGCTGGTGATTTTTGTGGGTTATCTTCTACCAAAATATTTTGCTGAATCGATTTATCAGGATTATAAAATGGAAAGAGAGAGGATTTGGGGTCAGAACAGCTGGGTTCAAATTCAGGCTCTGCTGTGTTGCTGTTATTTACTAAGGTTAAATATACCTTTCACAGCTAGGTTTTTTTAAAAGCTCTTCATAGTTATTTCCTAGAATTCTTCTTTTGCTATAATTAGCATTTTTTAAAAATGTATTTAAATAGTAAAATAGTAAGAATGAACAGCCCTGTTTCCTTAGCAGGACAACCTCTAATGTTTCCCCATAAACAGACAATGCTCTTGGTTTCACGTAAATGTTTTTTATCAGCTTAAGAAAAAAAATCTTCATTTCTTGTAATCTGCCCTGCCTTCTTTTGGATTTCGGTCATTTGATTTTCTTCCCTTTTTGATTAAATTTGCCAAGGCCTTATTAATTTTATTGATCTTTTAAAAAAAATTACCCAGCTCTTTGATTAGTTTAGTTCCCATCTTATTAATTTCTCCTTTAATTCTGCCAATTTCTCATTTACTTTTGGTTCTTTAATTTGTTCATTTCCCAACATCCTTAACTGGCAACTCACCTCATTGATTTTCTTTTTTCCACTGTCCTTGTTAATATAAGTGATTAATGATCCAGTTTGCCTCTGGCTTCTGCTTTGCCTACATTCCATGAGTTTGGGGTATGCTGTATTTCCATAAGGAGAGGCAGTGAGTAAATGCAGAAAGAATATGGATATGGGGGCGGGGGGTTTGGACCATTTGGGTTGAAGACACCCCCCCTACACACACACACACACACACACACACACACACACACACCTTTCTAGTCTTCTCACCCTTTCCATCCTTCCCCTCCCCTGGCCTCTTGGCTGTTCTAGACTCTGGCTCTGGTTATTTCCCCTGGCTGTCCCCTGGGGCTGGAGCACCTCCCTCCTCATCTCGGCCTCCAGGGTTCCTTCAGATCCCAGCCAAAGCCCATCTTCTACTGCAGTGGGGTCTGACTCAAACAGAAAGGGGGCAGGGCACTAGTGTGGACAGAAAAGATCTATGGGCTACACAGTAACTTAAATGTTACTTATGGTTTATTAACATTTTAATGTAGTTCTGGGGAGTGTTTTAGGTCGCACGACTGAGCCCTCTGTCCCCCAGGAAACCTTTCCTGATCCCCCTTCCTTCTAATACCTTCCTTCTGTGATTCTTTCCCATCTAGACTGTATATGTCTTATGTGAATTTTTTCTGTGTATTTATTTACATGTTGTCTCCCCCATCGGATTGGGAGCTCCTTGAGGACTGAGACTGTCTTTTGTCTTTCTTTGTATTTCTAATGCTTAGTCCAGTGCCTGGCACATAGTAGGGGCTTAATCAATGTTTGTTGACTGACCTCTGATGCAATACTCTTAAGAATAGAAAGTGTCGTATTCAATCAAAGAGGCATTTATGAAGGTGGCTGTCTTGTGCCAGGCTTTGTTCCAGGCTCTGGGGATAGAAAGCAGTCCACACCCTTGAGGAACTTTATATTCCACTGGGACAGAGCGACATGTGTCTTGAAAATGAGATACAAAATATATGCAAAGTAATTTCCTGGAGTGGGACATTAGCGATGGTGGGAAGGGGGGGAGCAGCTGGAGTGATCAAGCTAGGCCTCCTGTAATAGATGATACCTGGACTGAGCTTTCAGATAAATTAGGGGTTTGTTGAAGCAGACATGAGGAAGGAGGTGAGGCCTTACAGGCTGAGGGCACAAAGCCCAGAGGGGAGGGAAACAGCTCCTGGCAGCCAGGTTGGTGCATAGACGTAGACTATGTGAAGGTGAGGCCTTCAAGGAAAGGTGTGGCCAGGCTGGGAAGCTCCCAAGGAGTTTGCATCTTCCTCTTGGCATCTGCAGCTCTGGGGGCTCCTATCAGCACCACATCTGCTCTCTCCAGGGGGAGGTGACTCCCCAGGACTCCCCTCCACTGCAGCCAAAGGCGTCCCTTGGCCCCTCCTATCATTTGGGCAAGCCTGCAGTTTTCCATCCCCTCTTTGTTTATCACTTTGTATTTTATGACAGTTAAATCTATCAACCTCACAGTTGAAGTTTGGCCTTTGGGGCATTTCTTAATTTTGTGCCCTAGAATGTGATCAGTTTCGATGGAAGTTTTGTGTCATTTTAAAAAACGTGTCCTTCTGTCTGGTCATTGCCTTGTTTTTGAGGGAGTTCCTGGGCTGCCTTGGGACCTTTGCTCCTTCACCTTCCTACCAATGTTTTCTTGTTCCTTCTTCGTGATAACCTGAGGAGTTATCTATCAGTGGTGGCTGGAGACTCACCTCTGACCCATGCTAGGGCAGTGCCCCAGGCAGCTCTCCATGGCTCCCAGATGAGAGCAGCTGCAGAAGCTCGTTGGAAGAGGAAAAAGAAAATATTGTTGGGTCAGACAGCATGATTGTCTTGGTGACTCCCCTCCGCTCTTCTCCTTTGACCCGGAAGGTCCCCTGTTTTCTGTCACTCTTGGCTACAGGAGCCTGGAGGCAAGTTCAGCCTTGCTCCTAATTCAGTTAGGCTGAACGAGACAGTATGACCTCGCATCTCTCTTCATTCTACCCCTGTGTCCTCTGGGAAGGGAGGGGTGCTAGCCTCCCCCTCCACACCCCAAGGTCCCCCCCAGGACAAGGGCCAGCAGTGCCACCGGCTCCCAGTCTTGGTTTTCTGCTCTCCTACCACAATTGATGTGCAGAGTGCATCAGCATAGGCTCCCAGGCGACCCGGACCTGCCAGTCCCTCTCTGCTTCCATGATTAAATACCCACCCGCTGCTGCTCCTTGTGAGCTGGCAGCCCTGTGCCCAGGCTAGCATCCCCTTCCCCCACCATCATAGGCGCTGCCCTCTCCAGCCATGAGGGGAAAATAGTCCTGTACCAGAATCAGGACTAGTGTGGCCCTCTCTCCCCTTCCTCATTGGCCTCTCTCTGTACCTGTCTCTTGATAGCCCCAGGACTAATGGCGACCCGTTTGCTCTACAGGGGCTGGAGGGCCCCCTCCTCTGATGACTGCTTAACGTCTTCCTGGCTGCCTCCTCATTAGATTGTGGGGGTGGGGGATGGGGAGCAAGAGGAAGCTTGAGCTGCAACCTTGGCTGAACGGGCCAGTGCTTTGGGGGAGTGATCTTATCTCCCATTAAATCATGAGCTTTGGGGCCAAGACAATTTCTGATTCATTGTATAATCTCCTTTTAGCATGAAATAGGTACCTAGCAAAGAGTTGGCCTTCACCCTCACATGTTTGGTCAATGAACTGCTCAAGCAGTGCGTGCTACGTGCCCCACAAAGAGTCTGGACAGGAAATACCAGGCCTGGTTTCCCATAAAGCCAATAAAAGCAGGAATAGGCAGTCTGTGGCACCCTAACTTCTAAGAATCACTGGAGAAAGGGGTGAGGATGGTCTGCCACTCTCCATGCATCTTCGTCATGATTTTCATCTTGATATCTTCCTGCTTCCCTCCCCTTCCTAGATCTCTACTTTCTGGTTATCCTTTCTCCCCTGACCGTTTTCTTTTTTTCTTTCTGCCTGGCCTATGCCACAGTACCTAGCACATTTTGTTGTTTTTGTTGTTTAGTCACTTAGTCACGTCCAACTCTTCATGACCCCATTTGGGGTTTTCTTGGCAAAGATACTAGAGTGGTTTGCCATTGCCTTCTCCAGCTTATTTTACAGATGACGAAACTGAGGCAAATAGGGTTAAGTGACTTGCCCAGGGTCACACAGCTAGAAAGTGTCTGAGGCCCTGTTTAAACTCATGTCCTCCTTAACTCCAGAGTTGACACTCTGTGCCACCTACCTGCCTCTACCCAGCACATAGTAAGCACTTAATCAACATTCTATCAATCTGCCTATCTATGCAGAGGGGCAACTAGGTGGCACAGTGGATAGAGCACTGGACTGGGAATCAGGAAGATTCATCTTCATGAGTTCAAATCTGGCCTGAGACACTTCCCTGTCTTTGCCTCAGTTTCCTCATCTGTAAAATGAGCTGGAGAAAATATGGCAATCCATTCCAGTATCTTTGCCAAGAAAACCCCAGATAGAGTCACAGAGAGTCAGACAGAGCTGAGCAACAATCAGTCTGCCAGAGTATCCTTCTGATCACCAATTTTCTGGCTAGCACATTCTTTTCTCTTTTAGGTTGAATTCTCATATCCTCCCCTGATCACAGGAGAAGGCCATGACAGCCACACTTTACCTGAGGAATGGAAGTATTTGCCTTTCCTTGCCTTGCCCGATGGAGCTCACAACTATCAAGAAGGTAAGAGAGGGGAGCCAGGCCTGCTGTGGAGAAGCTGGGTTGTCCTGCATTAGAGCATTGGAAGATGGTGCCATGAGTTTAGAAACTACTGGGGGGTTTTGCTGAGATACCCAGAACACTCAGATGTTTCCTAATAAGTTCTGTGGTTGCCGGAGGAAGCCTATGGACTCATCAAGGGATCTGAGGTAGACTGTGCCAAGTGTTAATCCACCTAAGCAGAGAGTAGCGATGCCTTGATCTGTGCTTCTGAGGCCTTCAAGGAACGAAGCCCAGATTGGAACCACTCCTCTGTCCCTGGTCCCTGTGGCTGGTGTGAATGGCGGGGGCGGGGAGGCAGCCACAGGGTGGCTGAGCCATTTCCCGAGTCTTTATTTTCTGCTGCCTCCTTTCTTTCCTTTCAAGGTCCTGTTGCACGTGGCATCCAGGGAGCATGCTGGGCAAAATTTCTATCCCTATCTAAGAAAGATGTTGATGTTTTATTCAGTTTCCTTGTAATTACTCTTGAACCATATTATAGGTTTTTCAAACACTCCTTACCTGCCTTCCCCCACTTTGCTAGTCCTTATCACAGCCCCCTAAATGAGTTTGATTCCATTCAGCAAATGTTTATTAAGTCACTGCTGTGTGCAAGGAAGTGTGTCAGGTGCTGGCAATACAAAGAACAGATTACACACTTCTCCCCAGCCCCTCCCGACACAGAACTGATGTAATAATACAAGGTAGGGAGGAGATGTAGGAACAAAGGAGTCCTCCAGAGCCCGGCCTCCTCCCCCACACTGAGGCCTTCTGACTGTATGCCCAACACTGCCGGCCGTAGACCACGGCACCTCTCATGGTTACGGGGCGATGCTTCAGATATGCCTCAGTTTCCATTTTCCACTTGCATGGTGTGGATTGAAAGGGCATCAGTAGGTTAGCTTGGGAGAGTGTGTTAGTTAGGGCCACCACTGAAGCCTTCTCCAGTGGGACATTCAAGATGACTCTTGACTTCTCAGAGACTGAGCCCTCTCAATGCTGGCTCTGACCAGGCTGGCTGACCCGGTGGGAAAGGCTTGGAGCAAGTTTGAGCCCAGGCCCAGATGGTGTCTGTGGCCCTAAAGGCGTGGGTCTTTTGGCCTCAGAGATTAGAAAAGGGCATCTGCTGAGGTCTGCAGGGCCTGTGGTGCTCACTCACCCTGGGGAGATCAAAAGCTACTGAGCATGGCCCCAAAGCAGGCGGTCCCCACCCTGAGAGACATTTGGGGGGGTTTGCTTTGGTCTTGTTTTTTCTAAACCAAAGAGAAACGATCTTCTTGGAACCCAAATCTATTGTATCTTAATTGGTCTGAGGTAAAAATATTGCTGCCAGAATTAAGAATCGTCATCTTTTTAGGCATAGACCATTTGCAGATCCTTGGGCTCCTCGGCCTTTCCACAAGCGGCCATCTCATTGCCATATAGTTCTAGTGCCTTCCCAGAGCTGGGATGGGGTGGGATGGGGTGAGGAAGCCAGTATTCAGGCTTAAACTCCCCCACCCCCCCAGGCCAGAAGTGAACTCCCAGGCTGGTTGGCCTTCCTCCCCTCCCCCTCCCCCTCCCCCTCTGCCTCCTGCCTCCCACCTTCTCCTGTCAGGGGCCCCAACCTTTTTCTGAGAAAAAGCGATTTTTCCTTTCTTTGAAGCCCGAGGTCACGGTGGGGAGGGCTGTAATCACAGCCTTGTTGAGTGGCTCCTGCCAAGTGTTGTCATTGTGCTGGGGAATATAAAAGGCCTCGAACATGAAGCCGACGATAATCACGCCACTCCAGCTCGGAGCCCTGTCCCAACCTAATGAGCAGTTTGCACAGCGGATTCCAGGTTCAAAGACTGAATTTCAATTTCTTTTGGTTTACTTCAAAATGATGTTATTAAATGTGGAAAATTATTTCCAAATTGTACCAAAGCTTTAACCTGGGGTAATTCGGCCCACAAAGGGCTGTGGGGTATGGTCTGTTCACTTATGCTGTAGTGAGAAATGCAGTTACCGTAACGATGCTAGAAATGTAGCTTTAATAAGAGCCCAAACAACAGTGTTTAGGATCAGGGGAATGGATAAAGACGTATAACATCATTATCTCATGTTATTGAAGACAGTTTATCTACATCCAATTTTTATTTTATTTTTTCTCAATTATATGTAAATAAAAAATTTTGACATTCTTTTTTTAAAATTTTGAGTTCCCATTTTCACTCTCTCCCCTTCCCCCTCCTTAAGAAGGCAGGCAGTTTGTTATAGATTATACATGTGCAGTCATGCAAAACATATTTCCACATTAGCCATGTTGCAAAAGAAAACACAGACCCAAAAAACCTCAAGAATAATAAAGCAAGTTTAAAAAGTATTTTTCAATCTGCATTCAGACTCCATCAGTTCTTTCTCTGGAGGTGGATAGCATTTTTCATAAGTCCTTGGGAATTGAAGACAATTTATCTAAGCGAATTTATCTGCTTATCTCTTAGATACCGTGTTTTTCCACCTGCCCCCCAGAAATGGTAATGGAATGACAGTATATGGTGTTTCTTGCTACAGACAGATTGAAGCCAAGGTATGTATATCGATAGAAAAGAAAAATCTATCTAGAAATAAAGTTGCCTGTATGCAGGCCATTGGAGTAGTGCTTTTCCAAGGTCCTGTGGTGTAGCATTAAATTTAGTTCAGAATGATACAAAGTATGCGCAGTATATAGCCTGTCCCAAAAGTCTTAGTGCATCTAGGGCTTCTGTAGCTTCAAACTGCACTAAGCTTTTTGGTATACCCCGGGTAAATCCATATTGTAATTTATATTTTATAAAGTACTTCATTTCCATCCAAAATATATCCAGAGTCCCTCCCTGCTGTGTGATTTATTGTGTCCTTGGATTTTTCCGTTGCTGGGATTTGGTTTATAATTGGAAGGATGGAGTAGATGTATTTTTTTTAAGCACCATTTTAAAATTTCGGTATCTTCTCACTCATTTCCAAAGCCAAGGTTTCACTGTTAGTTCCCCTGCTAGTGTGGCTCCTGAATGAAATGTACAACTGTCCTCCATCCTCTATGGTTCGCTCTGCCTCACAGCCCTCACACCAGTGTTTCCAAGGTTCCTGTTGATTCTGCGTCTGCAGCATCTCTTACTTCCCTCCTCATTTCTCCATTTACAAAACCACTATCTCTTCTCGAGCCCTCCTTACCTATTTCCCAGTTTCCCCCCGTGCTATCCACCATCTCCACAACTACCACATAATCTTTACAGGAGGATCTGACAGTGCCCTCCTTCTTGCTCCCAAACCTACATTGCCTGTAGGCTAAAACACAGATTCCTTAGTCTGGCATTTAAGTCCCCCTATAATCTGGCTCCAGCGTGCCTTCTGGCCTCATTTCCCATTCTAGTTCTGCCTTCTGAGGGGAAATAGAATAAGCCTCAGGGCAGACTTTCAGACAGTTCTCCTGTCCCCCCATGTCTTTTTTTCTGCAGACCAAATATGTCCAGTTCTTTCCTTCACCTGATCCTGATCTTGCAGGAGCATGAGACCTTCTGCCATCCTGCTTTTCCGTCTCTACACACTATTTAACTTAATGTCTTTCAAATGTGGTACCCATAACTGACCCCTCTCACTTTTACCATTGTCATCTTTTGCCAGTTTTGCCATTTTAGACATAGTCTGACCTGGGCAGAGCACAGTGAAACTGTCACCTCCCTGGTCCTAGAGACTGTGCCCCTCCTGATGGGGCCCAAGATTGAATTAGTTTTTTTTTTTATACTCTTGTTTCATATTGAGCCTGAATCTGCTAAAGCCCCGGGGCCTTTTGGAGAAGCTGCTGTCCAGCCACGTTTCCCCCTATCTCATACTTGTGAATTTGATTTTTTGGTGACCCAAATGTAAGAACTACCATTTGTCCCTAGTTAATTTCATGTTATTATATTGAGCCCAATGTTGCAGTCTGTCAAAATCCATCTTAATTCTGAGTCTGTTATCTAATGTTAGCTGTCCTTCCTAGCTTTGTGCCATTTGCTAATTTAATAAGCAAACCATTTATGCCTTCAGCCAAGTCTTTGATAAAAATGCTAGACTTCACAGGACCCAGCACAGATTCCCAGGGCATTCCTCTGTAGACATCCTTCCAAGTTGACATGGAACCATTAAGGACTCCTCGTTGAGTCTGGCCAATCAGCCTTTTCTGAATCCTCCCAAATCTGCTGTTCTCGTGGCCGCAGCTCCGCCTTTTCCCTGAGATAAGTATGAGAGGCTTTGTAAAATGCTTAGCTGAAATCAAGACAAACTCTCTCTGCCCCTGTTCCCCTGTTCTCCTGTTGTGCCAGTCTAGTGACTTTGTCTAAAAAACAGAAATGTGGCTAGCCTGCCATGACCTACTCTTGAGGAAGCCAAGCTGGCTTCTTGGGATGGCAGCTTCCTTCTCCAGGCTTTCTCTGACACTTCATATGTTCTGGGATTATGCTGGGGACTAAAGTCTAGATCTGTTGGCCTGGACTTCAAATTCCAAGGTTTTCCCTCTTGGGGAAGGTTGGTTATTCGCCCTTTGTCAGCCCTCGGAAGCATTTCCCGTTCTCCTTGGTCCTTGGATGATCACTGACAGTATCTCTGCCAGTTCTCCTCGGAGCCGCATCTGGGCACCCGGAGCAGCAGGCCGCGACTCCTCCCCTCCTTGCTCTCCTTCAGTTTCCGCCCCTGTAGCCATTTCTGCTTTAGCCGTTCCTGTCCATCATCCATCGGAATATCCGTCTTCTTGAAAGAGGCAGTAGAGACAGAGCAAGAAGCCCATCCTTGTCTCTGTCGCTGCCCATCAGGCCCTTCTCTCCTGTCCCTTTCCTCAGCGTGGCTCCCGAACCCCAGTGGTGCTGTCTGTCGCGTTCTCCTTCCCGTGCGCTCTCGTGACACCCTTCTTGTCAGCCTGTGTCCCACTTATGTATTCATCCTATCGCTCTTGAGTCTGCGTTGCTTGGTTGCTTTAGACAGGTCTACCTTTGTCTCCTCACTGCTGTGGTTTCTCTCTAGCTTCAGAATTTCATGCTCCAGAGCTTCCTGTGCCTCCTCAGATGATTTTGCCTATAGAATTCTGGTCCGGGGGATGCTACGTGTCCTTTCTCTGCTTCTTTTGAAATCTGCTGTGGTGCCTGGGAGACTCTGCCTGGGTTTCCTTTCCTTCACAAATTCTTAGATGGGGGGTGGGAAAGAAGGTCACTTTCCCCTAAAATTTCTCTCCTTTCTGCTTTAACCACCACTTCCTCCACGTGGGTGAGTGTTGGGTCCAGAGTAGCCGTTTCCCCCTTGGCTTCCTCAAGGCAAGCCCAGAAATGGTCGGCGCCTCTCCTTCTTGGCAGTAGTAGTGGTCCAGCTGCCATCTGGATAACGTCCCCCCCTTACTGCTCCAGTGTATCTTGATGCCGGGCTTGCAGGCTGCTTCGCCTTCTCCTCCTCCAGTCCTCTGTCTGTCCAGATGGCCTGTGGTCTACTCTGATGAGCATTCACCCAGATGTTCCCTGCCGTGCTTTCCCCTCCTGGTCCTTCCATCTCCTCACATGACTACAGCACAAGTCACCTCCCTTCTCTTACCCTGGCTTTTTGCTGACCCTTAGCTTTTCAAATAAAGAATACCTATTCAGGGCCCCATTCTCATCATGAGTCCCATTGGGCCAAAGCCTGTGAGGTCAAATTTACTCCTTGTCTTAGGATTTTGAGGTCATGCCATTTGTTCCCCATACATTGTGCAGTTGCTGAGGTTTTAATGGCTGTCTCCTTTCTTGGATTCTGTGACTCTGAGGGCATCCCTGCTGCCCACTGCTTATTCTTCTTACATTTTAACCACCTTCTATGGTATCTAGCCTGGCAAATGAACATAAGCACTTTTCTCCCTCCATACTGAGCTTGCAGTTCACTGAAGCACCTATAGTGTGTATGTATGTGTGTGTGTATATATATATATATATATATTTTTTTTTTTTTTTTTTTACAAACTGTTGTCTAGCCCAACCTGGATTGGGGCATAAGGGGATGTTAAGGACTGGTGAAGGGGTCCCCTGAACTTGTTTTTTTGAGTTGCTGTACTTTCCAGAAACACTGGACCTAGAACGTGCAGGAGGCCCTGAATGTGACGGAGATGAAGGGCCCCCCCTCCCCCTCCCCCAGCTGACATAATTTGTTGTTGGCACCCCAAACTGAACTCCCTGTGTGTTCTTCAGAGTCGAGAGAGGTGCCAGACAGTCTGCACTAGGCTTGTGCAGCTGGGCCTTGTAGATAAGGAGACCATCTATCTTCACGGTCTAGCAGTTTCCAAGGGAAAAGAATGTGGCTTTTGCCCTCGCCTTGCTCCTCCCTTTTGGGTTTTGTCCTTTTCTCACCTTTACTGCACCTTTCCCATCCCATGTCACACCCCTTTAGGTGGAGATTCTGGTATCGCCTCCTTCCTTTGTCTTGCTGTCATAAATATGCAAACTTCTGTAAGGACTGTGAACTCTTTGCTCTGGCTTTGGGTTCCACATGCATGTTCATTTCTCTTATAATAAAACTAGTTTTCATGTGTTTCATGAAGTTGTTATTTCCTGTTGACACTAGTCACACCTCCCCTATTCCATAATTGTATAGTTATTCTTTGAACCCAAGTATATGAATTTACATTTATCCCTTTTAAAATTTTGTCTTACTAGAGTCAATCCCATGTTCACCCTCTTGGGACTCTGTAGATCCTATACTGTCATCCATCATATTAACCATCCATCCTGGTTTTGTGACCAATGCAAAGTTGGTAAGCATACCAACCATGCCTTTACCCAAGTCATACTAAGAATGATCAATATCCCAGCCTCAAGGACAGATCCCGTGGCTTTTTCATCAGAGACTTTTCCCCAGTTTCACATTGGCCCGTGAATAGCCACCTTTTGGGTTCAGTCATTTGGCCGGTTTCCAAATCCACCTAACTATACTGTCCTCAAGCTCACATTTCACCAGCTTGCCCAAAATGTTGGCTTGAAAAACTTTTCAAATGTTTTCCTGAAATCCACACGTACTGTATGTATGAGATAACCCTGGTCTACTGCTGAACAGTATGAAACTGTTTATAACCCTATGAAAAACCTGTGAAAGGAAATCTGTTTAGTCTGACATGATGTACTTTTTTAATTAAATTTTATTTTATTTTCAGATCCACATTTTCTCTCTCACACTTCTTCTGTCCTTATTTTCCTCCCCTTCTGCCTCTAGTTGAGAAAGCCATAAAAACAGAGCCCCTGTTATAAATACACATAATCAAGCAAAACAAATTCCCACATTAGTCATGTCCCAAAACAGATGTCTCAGACTCGACTCTGAGATCATCGCCATCACCTTTCTAGTAGGAGGTGGGTAATGTGTTTCATCTTGAAGCCCTTTGCAGCTGTGTCTGATCAGAGTTCCTGAATCTTTCAAAACTGTTTGTCTTTACAGTATTGCTGTTACTGTATAAATTGTGCTCACTTCATGCAGCATAAGTTCATACAGATGTTTCCAGTTGTCTCCAAAGTCTTCCTGTTCATCATTTCTTATGGCACAATAGTATTCCATCACATTCATGTACCATGACTTATTGAGCCATTCCCCAATTGATGGGCATCTCTTCAATTTCTGATTCTTTGCCAACACAAAAAGAGTTGCTGTGAATATTTGTGTCCATGTGGGTCCTTTTCCTCTTTTTCTTTGGGGGTCTAGACCTAGGGGTGATATTGCTGAATCAAAGGATATGCAGTTTAATAGCTTTACGGGCGTAGTTCTAAATTGTCTTCCAAAATGGCTGGACCAGCAGTGCATTAGTGGCCCTATTTTCTTTAGTCTCACCAGCATTTGTCATATTCCCCTCTTGTCAACTTTGGGGGTCTAGTGGGTGTGAGATGGGACCTCAGAATGGTTTTAATTTGCGTTTCTCCAATTCTTTGTGATTTAGAGTATGTTTTTCATATGGCTATCAAAACTTTGGATTGCTGCCTCTGAAAACTGGCTGCTCATATCCTTTGACCTGACGTGATGCATTCTTGATGACTGCCCCACCACCACACATGCGCGCCCACGTAAACACACGTGCGTGCACGCACACACACACACACACAGACATAGACATGCATGCCATGCTGGTTTCAACTCTCTAAGTGCTCACAACCCATCTTTTAATGAAATGTTTTAGAATTTTGTGAGGAATCAAATTCAAGTTCATTGGTGGCCTTGCTACGAAAGGAAATCTGACTTGTCAGGTATTAGCCAATGGCTTTTCCTTATATGCATGTAGAGATACTTCTAAGTGCTGCCGCTATCTTGCAGGTCTGTAGGGCTCTAAAGTTTGCAGAATGCCTATTCGCTTTACCTACATGCTTTACGTCTTTGCTGTTCAGTTGCTCTCGGGTAGAGGTGGGGGAGCAGGGTACCACTAATAGAGGAGTTATCTCCATTTTACAGAGGAGATCATTCAGAGAAATCTGAACAAAGTCAAATAAAGTCAACTCTGTACTTTTTGGTGCTTCTTCCTCTATTTGTACCCACACACCCATGAGACTGGTTTCCCAAAGACCAATTGTCCTGGGAGTTCATTGTTGCTCCCGCATGACTTGGAGACTTGGTGCCTTGAGAGGAGGGAGGGTGGTCAGCCTCAGTGACGTCCCTGGCGGTGGTCCCCACTGACTCAAGAGTGGGCCTGCACCCTTGCTGCCATTTTTCCTCAGCTTGCCTGGGGACCCTTCTCTGGGAGAGAAAAGAAATCTGTACCAGCTGACAGGGAAAAGTTCCATGTAGGCTACCGTCTTACCAGTAAATAATTTCAGTTCTCCAGCAATGGAAAGGCTATCCCTACTCGCTTTTCCATTAGTGGGATTCTATGACTGGGCCACCAGGAAGTGAGGAGTCCTTCAGATTAAGCTTCTAAAAGTGGAAAGAAGAAAAAAAGGAAACAATGTTATGCCACCGGGGTAGCCAGATGTGGCCCCAGAAAACCTGTAAGCAAACACTCTGCCCCTTCTTCATGAAGGGGGGGGCCAGTGGTGCGGAGTAGTGCATATGCTGTCACACTCAGGGGACATCTGCTGGGTAGTTTTGCTGCACTGCTTTTCCCCCTCTTTTTCAGTCTTTGTTCTAAGGGAGGGTTTTCTCGATAGGGCAGTAGGGAGTGATAGAAAAGCATTTAAGAAGAGAATCCATAGGATGGCATGGGCCAAGTGATCATTAGGGGAAGGTGGGCTATGAAAGTGGTGCTTGAGACAGAGGGGGCACTGTGACTTGCCCCACGTAGCCAGGCTCCAGCTGCCCATGTAGCTTGTGCCCACAGGCCCCTGGAGTCCAAGGGAGAGCTTAGAAACTTGATCCCTTCTGGCCTACAGTCATTGCTAAGGAGATCCCCCCAAACAGGGCAGAGAAATTGGACTTGCCTTGGGGAGAGACCCAAAAAAATGTCGTACTTAAGCTGTGGATGAACGATCTCATTAGCTTGGAGATCCAGTCAAGTCAGCAAACATTCTGCACCAGGGAAACGGAGACCAGGGATCCTTCCTTCAGGCCAAGTCCTGAAGGGGAGGAGGAGCTTCGTCTTCAGATCAGTTTGCAAGGGCCAGGAGCCTGTGACTTACTGTTGAAGGGGGGTGGGGGTAGGGGTGGAGAGGGTCTTCATTTGAGGAACCCTTTCCAGAAGTGAACATTTACTAAGGAAAGGAGTGGGGAGGACATTCCAGCACACTGGTCATGGTTTGAACATTTGTGGAGGTCCTCATGGTTAGTCTGTGGACAGCCAGGATGACAGAAATTTAAGAGGGGTTCACTAGGAGAGAATGCATGTTCTCCTGAGTGGAGAAAATATGTCTCTCATCCCAGATGAGAAAGGGCCATATGAGTCCCTTGGTGTTGGGAATGAAAGGGAACAACACTTCCCACAGTGTCTGGCACATAGTAGGCACTTAATAAATATTGATTGATAGATTGACTTTGGATTTCATTGCCTTAGAGCAGAGGGGAGGCCAGTTAGTGCCTACGCCCTTGGTGGCATAATGGAAATTGTGCTGGGCTCAATCTGAAAGGCCCACATTTTTTGTCAATGTTCTACCACTTACTCTGTGACACCTTTTAGCCTCAGTCAGAATCCCTCTCACAGAGGGTTACGCATCTCACAGGGTTGTTGAGATAATAACAACTCACAATTCTCTATCTCTGGTCTTTATAAAATGCTTTCTTCAGAATCTTTGATGTAAGAAGAACAAGTATCACCATACCCATTTTATTGCTGAGAAAACTGAGACCAGAAAGGTTGCAGGGGTGGGGAACCTTCGACCTTGAGGCCACATGTGGCCCTCTAAGTCCTCAAGTGCAGTTCTTTGACTGAATCCAAACTTCACAGAAAAAAAAATCCCCTTCATAAAAGAATTTGTTCTATAAAACTTGGACTCAGTCAAAAGGCCACACCCAAGGACCTGGAAGGCCACATGTGGCCTCGAGGCTGAAGGTTCCCCCATCCCAGTTAGTGACTTCCCCGTGGTTGCATAGCCCTCCAGTGTTAGGACAAGGATTTGAACCCAGATCTTTAGATACCCCGGTTTAGCACTCCTTCTGCTACACTGTGATGCTCTTTGATTATTTCTAGTAAGAGTCTCATGATTTTGTTTTTTTAATAGGCACTCAAAGTAAGGCAAGCGGATGTCACCAGAGAAACTGTCCAGAAAAGTGTCTGTGTTCTGAGCCAGCTGGTAAGAGAACTTGTAAAATCCTCAAAATCCGTGCAGAGGGAATCCTTGAGAGAAGTCAAGACTTTGGCCAGTCACCATATTTGCCAGGGTCTGATTATTGTGCTCCCCCAACCATCATCTAGCAGCTTCACACTCATAATTAATACCTCTACCACTTTTCCACCAAAGGGTGAAAATTGCCACTGGTTTTCGCAGCAATTAACAGATTTAGTAAAAAGTGGAGGAGGAAGAGGAGGAATCAAAGTCTTATGGGTAAATTTAGCTCACATGGGGGGTTTGGTGTGTTTGATTTTGTCCTTGATTTTTCCTCATTTATTTCTAAGTATTCTTAGCAATGTGCTAGGCACTTAGGACAGAAAGACAGAGCCATTCATTCTGCAGTATTCTTTAAGGGTGTTCTGGGTGTAAGGTGCTGTGTAAAGTGGGGAGTGTACGAGGTCAAGGATGAAAAGAGTTCTTGTCCTCCTGGAAGCTGATGAGTGAATTCATGACCATGGGAGGAGGAGGGCACCAACTCTGCCCTCAAGGAGTTTGCAGTCTAATGGAGGGGAAGGCCTGTGGACAAGAAACTATGCAAGAAAGTACACTCACAGTCATTTCAGAGGAGACAGAGTGCTCCTAATGGGAGTCAGGTAAGGCCCCCTCTAGGGGGCAGAGTTGGAGGCCTTGGGGGAAGGGCCAGGGGAGGGGGAGTTGGGGCCGGAAAGGCCACTTTTTCGGCCACTGTCTCGGGCCTGGTCCAGAAGTAGATCCCTGACCAGAATTGGGCCAGGTTTATCAGACAGTTCTCATAGGGGCAGCTTGCCAGTATCTACTATACTAGGTACCTCCCAGTGGTCCTGGGTACTAGAGAGACAGCTTGGCTTGGGATCCAGCTGGCAGTGGTCACTTTCCCTAGGTTCCAGGCAAAGATCTGAGCAGGCCTCACAGTTTCCCCACTCAAACCCATGGGGCTTTTATCTTTTGGACTCCCTCTGGAGTCTGGAGTAGACCATTGTTTCACTGACTCCTGGGGCAACCCAAGGTCTCTGGTGCACCATATCTGGCACCTGGACTCTGGAGGTCATGGGATACAATGTGAGCCATGGTCAGTTGGGTAGTAGAGAAAGGTGTCTCATCACTGCCCTCCCTATAGTGGTGGGCCATTCATTGGGTGCATGGTTGCCCACCTCAGTAGGTGCAGGGGTGCAGATAGCAAGTTGGATTGGGGATGATGCCTTCAGGTGCCGACTGCCCAAGAATCTACCCGCAGACCTCCCTGTCCTGTCCTGTCCCAGGCTTCTTGGGCTGGGAAGGAGCTGGAGGTCCCCCCTTGGCCTTCAGATACATTTCGTCGTTGACTGCGTTGCTTTGTGTGTACCATGACCAGTCTGGTGGGTGAGGTTTTTGTTCTCCATTGGAGGAGGAGGAGGAAGTTTTTGGTCTTTCCCAGTGTGTTTTTTTGCTTATCAAAGTCCAGTGCCTGGTTTATTTTATATTCCTATTTTGTGAACCTGACAGCAATTAGCAAACTTGAACATCTCCCCATGTACAGAAAACCAGAACAAGAGAACAGCCTGTGAAACCAGGACTATTACCAGGTCCTGCTGGGCTTTTAAGTCTAGTTCAGATTTAACAGTGTCATTCCAGCACTGCCCTGCCTACCTGTGTCCCCTTCTGAACTTCCTTCTACTCTCTTGTGAGGGTGTGGGTGTTTTGTTTTGTTCTGTTTTTTAATGATTCATTGACGTTCTCTTCTCTTCTCTGGCATCCCAACACAATCTCCCAGTCCCTCTTCAACTCTTCTCCAAACTCCCTTGTCCCAGATAGAGCCAAGCATAACAGATCCACCCATTGGCCCTCTCTGCATCCATCACCTTTCTGCCCACAGGTGGGAGGCATGCATCGCCATTGTGGTCCTCTGAACAGATTGTGATTGGTCATTGCATTCATTTGAGTCCCGAAGTATTTCCCAGGTGTTTTCCTTAACATTGCTATAGTCATTGTCTGTCCAGCCCAGGCTTTGCTCTTCTCACTTGCTATCAGGTTTCTCTAAATCTGCCCCTTTCGTCATTTCTCATTGAATGCTAGTATTGGATTATATTCATTTACTATAACTCCTTCAGCCATTGCCCACCTAATGGGCACCCACTTTGTTTCCAGGCCTTTGCTACAACAAAAAAGTGCTGCTACAAATATTTTTGTCCATATGGTTTCTTTCTCTTTTTATTTGATCTCTTTGGAGTATATGCATGTTATAATATATTAGTAGTGGTGTTACTGGATCAAAAGGTATGCACAGTCTAGTGATTTTGGGGTATAGTTGATTTCCCTTTGCTGTCTAGCAGTGGCTGAATCAATCTACAACTCCATCAATATCACATTCATGTTTCTGTCCTCTCACAACCCCTCCTAAGAGTGGTCATTGTCCTTTTCTGTCCTTTTACCAATCCGATGGATGTTTGGTGAAGCCTTAAAATTGTTTTAATTTGCATTTCTCAGTTACTGATTTGGAGTATTTCATATTACTTAAGCCTTCTCCATGCCAGTGAAACAGATAGACTTCCTGTTCCCCATACATGACATTCCATCTGAGGGCAAGTCAAAGCAACAAGCATTTATTAAGTGCCTACTGTATGCCAGGCAGTCAGCTAAGCTCTGGGGATACAAAGAGAGGCACAGTCGATGCTCTCAAGAGGCTCACAGTGTAATAGAAGAGACAACATGTGAACAACTATGTGCAGCAGGATGGAAATGGGATAAATGGGAAGATCCACCCTTCGGGAAGGTGAGAAGACTAAGAGATTAAGGAGGACTAGGAAATGCTTCTTACTGCAGGTGGGAATTCAGCCACGCCTCCCTGGAAGGCACAGAAGAGGAGGGAGAGGCCCAGGCATGGAGGAATGCCATTGCAAACACACGGGTCGAGGTGGCACACTCTCCGTGCAAAGCAGTGGTACTGGAGGAGAAGGAAGGGTGAGAAAATTGGGAATGTAGCAGGGAGCGAGCGGGTGAAGATCTCCAAAAGCCAAACCAGAATTTCTATTTGATCCCTAGATAAGAGGGAGCTATTGGAGTTTATCAAATGGAGAGGAGTTACTGGTGATGGAGCCAGACCTGCACCTTAGGGAGATGACTTTGACAGCTGAGTAGAGGATGGACCTGAGGCTGGCAGACCCATCAGGCATGAGGTGGGGAGGGGCCTGCACCCAGGGAGTGGCAGTGTCAGAGAAGAGAAGGGGGCATGATCCAGAGACGAAGATAGAATCCACAGGGCTTGAAAATTCAGGGACTGATGGCATGTGGCAGAGAATCTCTGTCCACCTTCCAAGCACAGGAGAGAGCCACCTTCTGTAGGCTTTTCTGGATCTCCACAAAAGTTGTCCTCCCATCAACACCACCCCCACCCCACCCCAATATTTTGTATATATTTTATAACCTTCTCTGCTGTTTTCTCTCAGGTGTGTGCAGGCTAAGCCCTGCTTAAGGGCAGCCCTTAGGCCAGTCCCTGCACCTAGGTCTGTGCTCAGTAAATACTACTAGTTCCCCTGCACTGTACTCCTTCCTCAGGTAAATGAGGAGGAACCAGTTGGTGTATTCAGAAACTTGGGAGATTCAGCATCAGAGCCATTTATTTATTTATTTATTCATTCATTCATTCATTCATTTATTTTTCGAACAAGCCCTGTCACAGTGGAATCCTTTATCCTGCATGGATAGAAAACTGACTGAGAGGCTAGAGGCAAAAGGTGTGGATCAGTGGGTATTTCTTTACCTAGGAAAGTACAGTGATTTCCCCAAGATCAGTAGTAGTTTTAGTCTTATGTGGCATCATTATAATTGCTCCGGATCAGGACGTGCCCAGGGTATTCCCCAAGCTTACCTGTTAAGCTGATCAGGTACTAAAAAGCCTTAGCCTGTAGAGAGAAACTTCAGAAAGTCCTCAGTGGGCATGAGCGTGGCCGAGAAACTTGAGGACGAGCAAACATGAAGTCACATAGTTAGGGGGTACTCTGCTGAGAGCTTGACGGACTCTGTCCTCAGGCAGGGATCTGGGACTTAATGTGGAACGTCCAGTGCCTAGCACTGTGGCCTGTGTATGAACCAGGAGCTAGGCGGTGGCCAGAAGCCAGCAGAATTTCAGGGAGAGGATAGACGTGACAGCATGAAGCACCGTAGCATGACCGTGCTGCGGGCAGCTCTGATCACGTCCCAATCACACCTCAAGAAAGGCGCAGTAGCACGCCAGGAAGAAGGCGCCTGTAGTGATGACTCCAGCGGCTGGAGAGAGGTTTGGGGACCTCAGTGGCTGTCTGATCAGACTCACCACCAAAAGAATCCACAGTATAACCCGCCTGACCAGGGGTCTCCAGCCTTTGGAAATCTCCAGTGAGAGGTTACCCATCACCAGCTGAGGCAGCCCATCCTTTGGTTCAGCTCTGAATAGAAGTTTTTCTTACCCTGGAGCTTAAATCTGCTTTTCTTTTCCACTGTTGCACTTGCCTCCTTGTTCTTCCTTTGGAGGCCAAACATCATAAGTCTTCTTATCTGTGACAGACCTTCAGATACTTAAAGACAGGTCTCCTGTCCGTCCGGGTCTTCTCTTCCTGAGGCTAAGCCTCCAAAGGCCCTTTGGTCAGTCCTCAGGTGACCCGTTGCCACCCTTTACCTTCCTCTGGGAGTTCTCTCAGTTATTAGTGTCTTTCCTAAAATACGGTGGGGCAAGGGAGGGGGCGGCCTGACCACATCAGAGGTCCACTGATTTCCTCCTTCCTGGAACTGAGTGTTTCCCAATGCAGCTCAAGGTTTTGCTAGCTTTGGGGGCAACCATGGCACCCTGTTTGTTCATATTGAGGCCAAAGTTCACCAGAACATCTAGATCTTTTTCAGACAGATGGGATCTCTAACTCTGCCTCCTCCATGCTATGAAATCTCCTCCCTTCCCCGCTTGCTGTCACTTCGCCTTGGAAACTCAAAATTGCATTCGCCATCTCCATGACTCCTCCACACCAGTCACCAGTTTGTTTTCTTTGTTAGATTTGAGCCAGATTCTGAGAAAACATTCCCCTGTTCTTTCAGGATGACTGAATTCTACTGTCAGGTTTATCAACCTTTCTGAATTCCTTCACTGACAAAAATATCAAGTCAAACTAGTTCAAGGACTAATTGTCATGGGACGACATTTGTTATGTCTTGTTACAAGAAGAGAACCACAAACGAAGTATGGAAAGGAACAGCTAGGCATGGTGGTCTGGGCAAAAAAAAAAAAGTTCTGAAAAAAGTTCTGAATGTTCATTATGGACCATGATTTACTATAAACCACCACTATAAAAATATTATTAAAGAAAAAACCAAACAAACAAAAACAAAATGAAATTGTGAAGGAAAATGACATATAAAAGCCAAGAAACAATCATTCCCTTTTTGTAATAAACACAGTATTGCATGCCCTTTTGATCTGTGCATATAAAAACCGGCCTCCCATGAAGTCTTTTTCTTTAAAAAAAAATTAAATAAACAACAACAAAACCCTTGTAACAAATATTCATAGTCAAGTGAAACAAGTTCCCACGTTGACCATGACTGAAAAAAAAGATGTCTCTATGTGCACCCTGAGTCCATTCCCTCTTTCTCTGCCAGGAGATAAGTTGCCTGTTGCTTCATGACTTCTCCAAAGTCATGGTTGGTCAGAGGTCTTAAGTCTTTCAAAGTTCTTCATTTGGGATGAATGGTTCTCCTGATTCTGCTCCCTTGAGTGAAGTACGCTTCCATTCACGCAGGTTTTCCAAGTTCCTCTGAAATGTCTTTTCCATGAAACCTTTCTCTTATCACTTCTTCATGGGGTTGGAGTTGAGCCTAGGTTCTTGATGACAGAGCAGAGAGCGAGTTGAGCTAGGTCCCACCAGGCTAAGGCTTCGGGGGCAGGCTCAGGGACAGAGGGAGACTGTCACCCGGGAGCCAGCACAGCAGCTCGCCGGCCCGCTTGTCCCCTGGGGCCTGAGATGCTTCGGCTGCGTCATCTTCCACACCTTAGCAGATAGCTGATGGTCTCCATCCCTAAGGAAATACCCAGCCAGATGACATCACAGATTCTCTCAGTGCCACAGTGAAGGCCTGAGGAGGGTCCAGAGAAGAGGAACAGCCACCAAAGCTGCAGATTCTCCGTGGAGGAGGGAGGACAGCATGCGCTAACTCTCCCATGTGACACTCCATCCTCTGACTTTTCCCTGACTGGCTATCCCCAGTGCCTGGAATTCTCTCCCTCCTCATCTCTGCCTTCTGGCTTCCTTCAGTCCCCCTTCATTCTAGTGCCTCTCCTCTGGTGATTACCTCCAGTGTGCCACAGTTGCCTACATGCTGTCTCCCCCGAGCTCCTGTGAATTCTTGGAGGGAAGACAGCCTTTTGCCTTTCTTTGTACTCAGCACCTGGTGCACAGTAGATGCTTAAGAAATGCTAGTTGACTGTCTTCAAATACATGAGCATTTGTGATGTGGAAGACATAGTCTCTAGGGCCTTAGTTTTCATGAACTGAGTGGGAAAGCACATTAAGTGATACTAGGACAAAGGCTGGCTCTACCTAACAGGAGAGTTCAGCACTGTGGCGGCTCAGCTCAGCAAGGCACCTTGTACCTGGAGGGCTCGTTGGCTGTATTTTGAACATCACCCTTGGCCAGTTGAGGCTTTGCAGGCAGAAGAGCCCGGGACACTGGATGACCTCGTGAGGTCCCTTTCAACTTGTGACTCTATGGAAAAACGTGTAGTTCATTTGAAATCCCGTTTTCCTTCCTCTACATTCTTCCTTCACTTTTGATAATACCTCCCTAACAATGTTTTGTGTCTCTTGCAAGCCTCTCTATGGTTTACTCCAAGCAAAACTTCAGCTCATTACACACGCCTATTTTGAAGAGAAGGACTTTTCCCAAATTTCAATCCTGAAGGTAATTTTGTAATGTGCCTCTGTGTGCCTCTGTAAGTGTGTTCTGCTAAAAAAAAAAACAAAAAACAAAACATTAAATTAAGTGGGGATGTGTTTGTGAAAGAAGTCATTTGTTAGCCAACACCCTGGACAGAAAAGTGGCATGATGCATTTCTGATGAGTGAGGCCGGACCCCTTCTGCAGTGTGCAGCTCCCTTGTGTGTGTGGAAGCAAGCCCCATTAGCTTCCAATTAGGAATAATTCAGTAAACTAAAAGAGAATTCAGTTTGAAGAAACACCTGATTACAGCGGATCCCTGAAATGGTCATTTCTCTCTGCTGTGCTTTGCTTATGAGAATCTGTCCTTTTGTAAGTGAAGATATTGGGCACTTTCTCTGGTCTCTAGCTCCCATCCCCCATAGTCCAAAGCAAAGCATCATGCAGCTACTTCCTGGAAAATGAGCCATCAGTTTTCTTGAGCATTGCCTGCCTGTGGCACTGAACTCCAGCTCTGTCATTGACTTTTACTGCATAGCGGTGATTGTGCCAGCAGGCACCCAGTCTCAGTCTGCAGAGGAGCAGGGAGCAGAATATGAATTAGGAGCTAACGCTGGCCCAGAAGGGGGGCTGGGTTCTCTCTGTCTTGCTCTGTGGCTCTGAGCTCTCTCTTGGTTCTGGGTTAAGAAATAAAAACAAAACCTGTGAAGGGACAAAACCTTAGTGAAGGGATGTGGAGGAAGGGAGATTGCAAAGCAGGGAGCCCGTATTGTCTCCAAGGGGGGTGCCTAGTACGTTCAACTCCTCCAGTATTCAATAGCCATTTTCTCCTTATCTCTACTGGATTCTACAGTATTTCCAGTTCACAATGTTGAAATGTCATAATTACTCTCTCTTAAAATCTGCATTTCCTAGGAGCTCTATGAGCATATGAATAGTTCCTTGGGAAGAGCTACCATAGAAGGGTCCCAAGTATACCTTGGTAAGTCGCACTTTGCTAGCCAGAAGAGACCCTCAAGGTCCTTGCTGGACAGACTGATTGGTCGGTTCAGTCTCCTCCTCAGGCTCTGCTCTGCTGGTCCTGAGGTTTGCGCTTTCTCTGTGGCTTGAGCTTTCATCACGTGTGTCCAGCTTTGGGCGTCTCTAGCCTTTATCTGCAGAAGGGAACTCTGCTGAGATGCTTGAACTGTCTGCAGTGTGGATGTCATCTGTGCATTATATCATCCATTGCAAACTTTTGTTATCTGTCAGACTTCCTCGTTCCCATGTAGGCCTCCCCTGCCCCCTTCATTCAATTCAGGTTCATTGTTACATATGTTGTGTACATGTGTTATCTATGCAGGCCTAGTGTAAATATAATTGTATAGAGTGGAGGTGTAGACAGTATCTATCTAGTTAGTTACATATGTCTGTATTACCCTCTCCAGCCGATTAGAAGATCTTCAAGGTCACTGTCTTCATACAGTCCTGGACCCAGTGGCTGTTCAATAAATCCTTATTATCAGTAAATATTTATTGAGTTCTTCTTTGATATTGATAAAAAGCAGTCTCAGTGGGGAATTCTACTCTCAGCACAATGCACTCACTGAAAACATCCCTCATGCAAATCGTAAGCAAGTTCACAATGATACATCTTTGATGAAAACAAATTTTCTCCAAACTCTGCCTTTAAATGATCATGAAAAGTTATCACTAGAAAATGTTAAAAGACCAGAGTGGTTCAGAAAGGTCAGCAGTGGCGATGGGTAAGCCAGGAAGACAGATCAGAATTGCTCGCTTGGCTATACAGTAGTAGTGGTGGTTCTTTGTCCCATAAATGAGATCATTTGCCAAATTGGAAAAATGGTTCTAAAGGCCCTGTCCCACCGATCCCAGAATAATATCTCTCAATATTTGTCTCCCATGCAGCCTTGCTTCAAAGCCATCTTTATTTAATCTTGGGATGTTCATGCCTCTTTGCTCCCTTTCCCCTCTGCATGGCAGTTGGGGAAGGGGACATTCACAGGTTGGCTTCTTTTCACTGCAGGTCTTTCCCCACGAGATCTGGTCCTTCAATTTCGACACAAGGTATGATTCTTTATTGGGCTTGAAAAGTACCAAAGTCAGAGGCACTTTCCTTACATTTGTTCATTGGACAGAATGTAGTGTTGCCTTTAAAAATGTTGCTTTCTTTAGATATGGATCTAAAATTCCAGCACTTCCTCCCCGCCCCCAAGATAAAAGGGAAGTCTTTGTCATATTTCTAGTTTAGCCTGAGTCATTTCTTTCATGATTTTTTTATGTCCCTATCACAGATAGCAACCATTTTTTTCAAAGTTTTGTTAATCACAGACTTTCTGTTAAGTAAGATTTTACAAGGCAAATTTCATTCTTAGTTTTATTTAGAAGTGCAAAAAAAAAAAAGGTAAAATAGGATGACAGGACATGCTTTAAGGAGAGTACAAAGAGCATCACTACTGTTTGTTTCTCTCTGGGGTTATGTCCAAATGTCTGGATCTCAGTCACAACGTAGGGTGCCATTTTTTTTTTTTTGGCCTTAGCTAAGGATCTGTGGAATTTGAGGCGCCCCACTAAGAAGAGAGCCTGAAGACTTTAGTTGGTGGGAACATTTTAAACGTCCATCATGTTTTTGGTGTGCTGTCATTGGTATAGGCAGAAGGTATTTTCCAACCAACCTCTCTCCATTTTGAGTATGTGAATGTTGACCAGCCTGTTCACGGGGCCTTCTGTAGCAGCTGCTGCTTTCTCCTTGTGGCTGGGATGCATCACTTTAATAAAAGGCAGGAGCGCTGAATAATCAATCCCATTTTTAGAGGCACAAATAACCTTTGTAGCATTAGGTTAGCTTCTAGGTTAGATTTAATCTTTTTTTTCAGCATAATTTCCTTAGGACTTTATTTGCTTAGCAACAGAAGTTGTATAAAAATGGGATGTTTCATAGCAATTGAAAAATAACCCCTAGGAGTGGGAATATTGAGGTTGGGTTCATTTGTAATCATCTTACGGTTTCTTTTTTTCTTTCTCTGGGCAGGTCTTAATCCTATTTAAGCTGATTCTTCTGGAGAAAAAGGTGGGATTTGAAGGGCAGGGCCTGGGAGAGTATTTAAAGTTTATTCTTTTCCTATTAAATAGCTTAGCTGGAATGAACCTAACACCTGGCCGTGGAAGGGGCTTGTAGAAGTGGGGGGGGGGGGGCTTTGTTTGTAGATTTAGTGCAGAAAATGAGGGCTTTTTGATCTTTGAGGGGAGCAGACTCTTGCAGGGCAGCAGCCAGTTCCATGCAGTTGTATTTTATGCCACAACACAGGAGGTTTTTTAATTAAATGCCCATTGATGCTGATGTCAGTATGCCCCATCTGTTATCGTAGGCTTACTTTCCTCCATCAGATTTGCTTACCAAGTGCCACCTCACCATTAGCAAAGGCTGGAGAGAGAGGCTCATTTTTTCCTTGAAGGAGCCGTGTTACTTCTCCACTGCCATCTTTGTCTTCAGGTCTTTCTTTTTCTTTGAGATTGGGTCTTCCTACTTCAGCCAGGCTGAAAGTGCAAGACCACTGGAGGACCCAATCCTACTGCACAGGAGCATTGAACGTGTCTGTTTCCAACCTGGGCTAACTCATCCCTCCTTAGATACTTTGGTGACTCCTACTCCCAAGAGTTTACCATATTGGCGCTGGACTTCACGGGGGCCTCTGATTGTCTTTCCTTGACTGCAGCTCAGAATTCCTGAGCTCAAGCCATCTGCCAGCCTCAGCTTCCCCGGCATCAAGGATCCCACACAGGCCTCTGCCACCATGTCCTGCCTTTAGGTCTTTCTTACAGAATTAGGACTACTTTGGTGTGTGTTCCAAATACCACAAGTGTTTGTTTTAGCTGATATAAACAGATCCATACCATCTCAGCAAAGGAGTGGCCTTTGACTGTAGAGCTAAGCAAAGAGTTACTTGCGTGGTGGAAATGCCGAAAGATCTAACAGAGCCTTCAATATTGAAAAGTAATAAGAAAATCATTTAAGATGGAAGAACATTGATATAAGACCAGTGTGATGGAGGCAGAGTAGGGACTCTGTGTGTGTGTGTGTGTGTGTGTGGTAACTCAAGTCAATAGTGACTCTTTGCATCTTTCTGTCCATATGATACCCATTTACTCTTCTGAACAGAAGAGAACAGAAGTCTTTGGAGGCTGGCCTTGTGACACAGCAAACTGGCAGCAGCCCTAACAAGTGTGGCAACTCACATATGATGTGGTTCTGTAGACAAAAGATCACTTACCTTGGTGTCTTTGGGTCCCTTTGTAAACAAGAGTGTCTGCTGAGCGTGATGGGCTTTGGCCACACTGCTCTGAGGGTGGGCACCCAGGCTTGCAGCCTGGTCTCAGCTGGGCCTCTCTGCCCACCAGACTGGGGCAAGAACGTGCAAGTTTCCCCAAGTTTTCTCTCTGTAGTAGACTGAGCTGGAAAACATCCTCCCTTCAGGGAGTAAAAGTTGCAAAGCCAACCTGTCCTCTGGGCTGGCTCTCCAAGTGATGCTATTTAATTAGAGGGGAAACTAGGGCAGCTGAGCAGATTTGCTGCTTTGTTTTGGTTTCTCTTTCTTCCGTAGCTGATTTCTCATTAGCCAGCTTTGTTTTAAGTTTGTTTTCTAATTGAATCTGTGTTTCTAATTTAAGCAATTGTGAATCCATTTCAGGTTCTGTTTTATATTTCTCCAGTGAATAGATTGGTAGGTGCACTAATGACTGTGTTATCCCTTTTTCCAGGTAAGAGAGTAGTTTTGTCTATTTTTTTTAACTTCTAAAACTGAGGCTTTCATGTAATATTAGTATAAAAAACTCATTGGAACAAAACTTGTTTACATTTTTTAATGTCATTTTAATATGACGTTTCCCTTTTGAGATTGTTTCTATTTTCAAACAGAATTTTTTCTAGTTTGTGTTTTTAAAAGGTTGAAATGTTCACAGTTATAGTTTATTGGGCCTTAAACAATGCCATTTCCTCGTGTTTTCCGCAGTTTTTTTTGAGCCACACTTGTTTTGTCTCTTGTACACTGCAGGCATGATAGAACATGGCCTCCGGGACTGCTCCCAGTACAGGCCCCGAAAGAGCCTATCTGAGGATGCTGGGCTCCAGCACGCTACCCCTCCTGCAGATGACTATGTTTCTGGGTCTGCTTCTGACATTTCAAATACAAATTCAGGAATGTGCACAAAAAAAGTATCTGGGAACCATGGAGGGGATGCCCCAAAGGCAGATGGGAGCCTGGCCCAAATAGCAAAAGATGCCAGCAGCACACAAGCGTCCAGTAGCTTTGGCCAGCCTGTGAGACTTCCTGTGCATGTGACCCCCGAGACATCCGAAAATGAATGGGAGACCCTGGACCCTGGCATCTTAGAGGGCACCAGCGTGAAAGAAAAGGAACAGGTGGAGCATAAACAGATACACTTCCTTCCAAGGGACCGTGTACCCTCCGAAAGCCCTCCAATTACCGTGCAGCCTCAAGCTAACCTGGGGCAGGTGGTATTCGTGCCAGGACTCATCTCTGGTTTGGAAGAGGACCAATATGGCATGCCGTTGGCCATCTTCACCAAGGTAAGGTTCTTAATACTCAGTCTAGTACCTTGAGAAATACCACAGATGAGCCTTTTATGGTGTGAGAGCATCTTCAGATAGGCGAGTGTGGCCTCAGCTCTTTTCGTTTCAGGCCATCTTTGTGTCCGGGGAATCTGTGGACAATCCCAGACGGTTACATGGAAGGCAGTGATAGTTGGGCCGGGCCCCATAGCCAAAGCTCACGGCGCTCTTAGGACTCCAGAGATTAGGAATTCAGATGTGGGGGTAACGGGCGGCGGCCAGGCCCGGGCTGCCCTGCGCTAGGTTCTCCTGGATGGATGGCAGTGAAGGGACTCGGTGGGTAGAGCCTGAGATGCGGAGTCAGGAAGGCCTGAGCTCAGCTCCTGCTCCAGACACTTCCTAGCTGTGTGACTTAATCCTCCCAGACTCAGTTTCATCATCTGTAAAACAGGGATATGAACAGCACCTGCTGCCCAGGGTTGTTGGGAGAATCGCATAAGATTGTAAAGTGCTTAGCAAACCTTAGAGAGCCTCAGGAGCGCCAGCTATCTGATTGCCTTTACCTCCGCAGAGCCTCAGGGGCCTCTTGAGAGAAATGGCGGAAGGAACATGCCATTGAGGTCTGTGAGAATTAGCATTTTGTAATTAGCCAGTGAGCACCCTCAACCTTCTAAGTTTTGTAAGGAGAGCAGGGGTCAGGCTGCCCTGTTGAGGCACTGCCCACACCAAGAAGCTGTGTGTGTAGTGGCTTACCAAGGTCAGGCTGCCCATTACGGAGCTAGTCTGTAGGCCCAGAGCCTTGGAACAGACTCAGAGAAAGCGGGCTTCTCTGGGGGCTTGTGGAGGGCAAGGTCTGATTTTGCCCCTAATAAGCACTTGTTCAGTGTTTGGTGACTTGAAACTGTTCAGTGCTCAAGCCTTCTGAGGATCGGAATGACTGGGAGAGTTCCCCTTGTATCCGTCTTTCTTGGCTTATTACGACCCTTATCTGTATACTCGCTGCCTGTTTACTCTGCAAAAAGTGAATCTGGATTTGGGCATGAAGTGGGGCCATTGACCTTGGCATCTTGGGGGTTTCTTCATTGCCCACTCCCTGGATTCTCATCTTTCTGGTTCATTCCAACTCAGCCAGTAAGTAAGTACCTCCCCAGGGTCGGTAGCTGCCAAATGAGCAGCCCCTGGACATGCCCTTTGGGGCAGTCCTTCCAGTGGGAACGGTGACTGTGGAAAGAGGTTAACACTCTTCAAAACTGTCTTTGTTGAGTATTTCCCAATCCTCAGGCTGGAGCTCTCTGCTGAATAATGGTCTGGGAGAAGAGTTGGTGGTCAAGAGGAGAGGCTGTAGGGGCCCCGGGAGAGATGAGGTGCTGGGAAGAACAGGAGCAGAAGCTGCCCTCCTGCTGAGGCGTCAGAGCAGGCCACTCTCCCCGCCTCCCTGGTCCCAGGTGTCATAGCCCCTGGGGGCCTAGGGAAGACCCCCCCGGGGGGCGGGGGGCGGTGGGCTTTGGGTGACGCTTTCCTAGAGAACCGGCTCGGAGAAGCCCTTCGAAAGACTGCCCCAGAACGTGTGGCTGTGCCGGTGTCCTCGCTCCCTTTGGTTCTGGGTAGACTTTAGCAGCTGACATCATTTTCCAGTCTGGTTGTTCTGTTTCAGTCGTTGCTCCTTAACTCTCTAGCCATTTCCTTAGGAATATTAGAATCAATATTGTTTACATTTTGGCTGTTTTAATTCCCTCTATAGAAATATCATAGGGTCCGCTGGCTTTTCATTTTCAGTTAACAAGCATTTATTGAGCACCTACTGTGTACCAGGCATTGGGGGTTGGGGGTGCCGAGAAGTCTACTTACTGTTTAAAACATAAAAAATAAAAATCGTAGTGAAGGCTGATCAAAAATGCCAACACTGACCATTAAAGTGTGCATTCAGAACAGAGCATACGAATGGAAATTAGGCTCCACTTTGGTTTTGTACTTGACGAAATAAAAGACAAATGGATTCTTGGCCCCAAAAAATGAGACAGAGCTGGGGAGGAGGACTGCCTGCGGCAGGAATGTGGACAAGACAGAGCCCCGGGGCTTTTCAAGGTATGCCCAGAAAGCATTGCTGCCTGGGAAGGATTTAGCACCAACGGGCCAGGCCCGGTGGCCCTGCTCTGAGGGAGGCTGAGTTTGGCAGGTCACCTGAGCCGCCCTGGACGCAGTGCCATAAGGTTCCACACGGAGCACTGCCCCGTGCCGGGATCCCCATTGGACCGGGGGCTTCCCGACCGTGCTCTGGAATATTGGATTTAGCTAGAACTTCTCATTAACAAACTAACCCTTGGTAATCGGTCAGCAAGTATTTATGAAACCCTTGCTGTGTGATGAGCCATGGTCAGTCCCTGACCTGGGCCTGAGTGGTTAGAAGAGTCTAACCACTCTTTGGGAGAACATCAGCTTTGACAGGGAAGGCCCCTGGTGGGAGATGAGGAGGAAGGCTAGAGAAGGAGACTGAGTCAGGCGCTGAGCTCCATGAGAAAGGAGGGAGAAAGCCTGGTGGTCAGTGGAGGATGGCCGGCCTCCAGGATCTAGGTGGGCAGAGGGATCCTCAGTGGCTGAGGAGTAGTCAAGAACAGTCTCAGAGGGGTGCTGAGGGGCATGGTGTTCTCTCCCTCCCTTCCTGGGAGCCAGGAATCCCTCCTGAGAGAAGGAGAGCTAAGCCTGCCCAGGCTTGTTTTCAGGGGAAGCTGGTGTGGGTGAGAGCCAGAGGAAGGGCATTAGCTTCTTAATTCAAGGCCAGAGCCCCAGGGGCACAGGTGGAAGAGGTTGGGGAATCTGGTGTGACCTGGGGGGTGGGGCAGGGGCAGTAAGATTGTGGTCAGTCTGTGGGAAGGGGAGAGCAGGAGGCAGCAAGTGGGGAGAAGGGCTTGCTCTGGCAGGCAGACATTCTGGGACCAGGAGCTTGGAGACACTCTGGGCAGTGAGTCTAGGCAGAAGATCAGGGGATGGCGGGCAGAGTTTTCTGTCTGGTCCCACCGTAGGGCTTTGTGGGTGAGGCCTGCGACCTTGGTGGACCCCCCACGGCACCTTGTTCTGAGTTCTTTAACTCTATGGGCAGGATGAGGAGCTAATCTGCCTGTTGTTCTGCCTGCCCACCCTCCCCTACCCCCGTAGGACTTGACTTTTATACATTTTATGATAGGGAACAAAAGATCCGTTTTTCTTCAGATAACTGAAATGAAGAAAGAATAAAAAACTCTAAGCAAAGATTACGTATATGTATGTATGTATGTGTATATATACACACACATATGTATTACAGTATATATATAGTATTTGCTATATATAGTATAATATATAGTGTATATTATAGATGTTCTAGCAGTGTTATGTAAAATCACACATGTAATTCGGCCACATGTATTAAGTTAAGGTAAAGCCACAAACCTTTATTGAGCATTTACTATGCGTCTGGCACTGTGGCCTTAGGGCAAGTTAAACGTCTATGTGCCAGAAGCTATACTGGGCACTGGTGATACAGAAATGAAAACCAGCTGTCCCTGCTTGCAGAGAACCTCCTCAAAGAAGGGGGATGGCATATACTAAAATAAGTGCATCAGAGAGTATCAGAAGCAAAGAAGGCACCGTGTGCAAAGTGCTCTAAGAAAATTTGAAAGTCAGGGGACCAAGGAGGGCTTTTTACCCAGGAGGCAGCATCCGAACTAGCTTTTGAAAGATTTTGTTTCAGCCAGTGAAAAGGAAGTATGTCCAAAACATGGAGACGGATGAAGGAAGGAATCACAAAGCATTCATTAAACACTTACTGTATTCCAGGCACTCCAGGAAGTTTGGGGGATACAGATACATTGCAAGACAGTCCCTCTGCCCTCAAGTAGCTTACATATTACTGGAGGAAACCACATGTAAGTGGTAGCTGGAGAGCAGCGGGTATGGGGAGTCATGGGGATGATGAGTTGGTCCAAAGGACGGTCAGCTCACAGGCCCTTTCCAAGAGCAATGACAGAATGGTAATGCCAGATTGATTACTGAGCCCTGAGCAAGAGACAGAAGGGTGGGGCATGCAGGCAGCAAGGTTGCCTGGGGTGGGTGACCAGATGAGATGGGAAGCGTGGTCAGAGGCCCACTTAAGTTGGTGCCCACCCACTCATTGCTGAGGCAGCTCAGAAAACAGGTTGGATTGTGTTGTGTTCCTACGAAGTCATTGTTTTAAACACTAAAATGAGGGCTTTTTCTAAATTAGCTGCAGAGCTTTTGATTCTGTCACAGAGAAGTAACTAGAAGCCCAGATCTGACCGATGTCCATGTTGTGTACTTGACTTAACATTGTGTCTTTCAGGATAGATAGTATGCCTACCATGTCCATCTGTGTCTTTCTCATTTTGGCATGCCGTTCAGAAAGCTGTGAGCTGATAGGGCAAAACCCAAGGTCTCTATGCCCCAGGTCCTCCTGTGGAAGGACTGCTGTAGTTTGCCTCTAGCTGGTTCTACAGTCCAGAGCATTGTTTGGGTAGCTTTTGGAGAAAGGGCAAGATTAATGATATGCCTGGTCCTCTCATGGGGCTTTAATGACTCAAATTCCCGAGAGGAATTTGTAAACCTTGATGGTTTACACTAAGGTACACATGAGGATTTCTTTTCTTCAGAGCTTAGATTATCTCATCAGCTCCCTGACTGCTTTCTGGCTTTCGAGTTAATAAGATCAAATGGAAGGCTCTGAACCCTAAAGCTCCACGTAAATGCTGCCTCTTATTAATCCTGTGAATAAAGTCTGTGAAGCCCTCAGCCAGGAGAGAACTTCCAAGGCCAAGGTGGCCGTGTGTCCCATCTGCTCAGGTGCTCAGGGACAGCCTTCGGTTGGGCCCCCTCCTGTCCAACCCACCCCAAACGAGACAAATCATGGGCTCCATTTTTCCCCCCTGCAGTTCCCATAAGGGAAAGATGTAGAACCGCTTGTGTTTTAAGCCAGAATCCTTATTATGCTCATTCATCATGTCTTCCTTAGCCTCGAAGACCATCGT